TACAATTCAAAGACATCAACAGCTGTATCTACAGACTTTTATTTTAAAGAAGGAGTTGTTCTAGAGAAACTGTTTCTACAAACAACAAACTTACAAGAGAGATTTTATATCAATGATACAAACATGCCAGATGGACTTTCTGTGATTTTGGGTTGTAGATCTGGTTGTAGATCAGATACAGACATGTTATATCTTCCAACTGTGGAACCTATAACCAAAGGAATTGCATTATATTCTTATGGAAATGGAAGATGGTATGTTTACAAACACAAAAACGAACTCTTCTTATTTGTGAACGGCACAGAAGCGTCTGACATTACATTTGATTTTTCACATGACTTTAATGATATCGACATATACTATAATACACCAATGTATGCAGCAACTGGTTATTTCAAACAAATATCATTAAACGATAACAGTAATGTAAAATATTACAGTATATGTTCAAAAAACAATGGAAGAATTCAAAGATATGTCTTCACTACACAAACTATTGAATATCAAGATTGTACTTGTTCTTCTGTTGATAATAACATTAACATCAATTTCCAAACGAAATTTAATTATCCGGACTGTAACTACAACAGCTCTTTTTATGATTTGAATTTAGAAACAATCTTTAGTGTTGATAATAATAAAAAAAGTTACGACTTTGGGCTGTCGATGTGGAATTCATTGATTCTATCAAAAAATGTTTTGTACACTTTTAACTCAACAAACAATCAAATATTGACAATAAATGAATTTACAATGATGAGTGGATTTTCAGTGTATTTTGATGTGGAAACTGTCATCAAAAGTTTAACAATAACTTCAAAAGGAAATTTCACTTTTAACAAACTCGTTACGATCGTAATTTTCACTTTCATTGATATTGTAAAAAATCAAATTCTATTCTACATTAATTCAACTTATGATAATCATATTCCAACGCCACTCACAGTATGTGGGAATCGAGTCATTCACAAAGATTATTTAAACACTCTTTGTGATTGTGAATACAACGAAAATGAAACTTTCACTTTTCGAGGTGAAACCATGACCGACTGCACAAAAAACCCACGCACTAACTTGAAATTGATTGTTGGGCATAACAATTATATAATACAAAACAACGAAAACTGGGGAGTTATTAATTGTTCTGATAAAGTTGTGATATCTTCCACAAGCAACAATGTTAATATCGATTCAAATCATTGCCTGTTCACTGAAACCGTCTATTTAGAAGCAAATGTTATTTGTAACAATTTGTTTGTGTACAACACAACACAAATTATAGTTGACAACTTCACTTCAAATAAATATAGTTTGTCTCTTACAACTGTTAACATAGTTAAAGAGATTTCTGGAATTAATCAAAATGGAATTATACAAATAAGAGGTGGCAAACTATCATCACATTATTCAAATCAAAACATTTCATTGATTTTTCCTGTAAGTGGAAGTACAACAAAGTGCATTGATTTTGTCTCGTCTTCCACACCATTGAATGATTTTCCATTTGAAGTCAAATCAACAAAAATGTTATTAGGGAATAAACTGTATCGTGTTTGTTATGGAGGGGATAACTATTTTGATTACACAATTCGATGCAATTTAACAGGAAGTAATTATTCGTCATTCCAAAATTATCAAGATGAGGTGTTGCATTGTCCCGTTAATAATATCAATACAACTGTTATAGTATCAACCAATGAAGTTGATTTAAATGAGTCGTTTTCTGGTACTTTTGATCAACAAGAAACAGTGACAAAGTTCAATTTTGAAATTACATCAAATTATAACTTCAACGACTCTACAAAAACCGTTTTATTTATTCAAGACGAGTCTGTGGAACAAAACAATTTTAACATCCAAACGAATTTAGAAAAGCTGTTGCTTGGAAATAAATACAAGTTTTCAAATACAATAGATTCAAATAAGTTAAAAAGTGACAATAAATACACTTCTATTGAATATAATTCGTCTAATAAGTGCAATTCGTTATTATTAACTAATTTAAATTTAAAGTGCTTGCATTGTGATCAGTCAACTGTTTTAAACAATGGAGAATGTCTTGATTTCAGTGAAAAATGCGTCTCTCGACAACGAAATGGAACAACCACATATTGTGAAGAGTGTGAAAGTGGGTTTGAACCTTACAAAGAAAAATGTAATAAATGTCCTAATCACTGTCTTCGTTGTTTTAAGTCGAATTGTTTGCTTTGCAAAGTAAATTATCAAATCAACTCGTTGTTTGGATGCTCAGAAATTGAAAATAAAGATTCCACAATAGTTTTTTATAATACATCACGTGTTTACAAATGTAAAGAAGGGTATTATAATACAAACAGTGATTGTACAAGTGTGCTCACAAAATGTGTATCTTATGCACAAGAAACCAAATGCAAAATATGCAAATCAAATGAATTCTTAAACTCAGAAGAGACTTGTTCGACACTAAGTGGAGTTATAACAACAAACAACAAAGTTCCTCTTATTTGTGAGCCCTCTTATTATTTAATTAACACACGTGTAAATTATGTAATGAGACTTTTGGTAATTTGTGTCAAAGATGCACGAAA